GATGCTCTTCAATATTGACCAGCAGCATCAAAAATTATCTGTCCATTTGACCTCTTACTGCCTCATACTGTCTGATCTTACTCTGGATCTAAACACCAGTCTTAGTGGCTTCATATTTTTTCCTATTCGGCAGCCAGTTCTGACAGAGAACATGACTAGGAGACTGATCCTGGCCTAATATGGACACACAATACCCAGTAACTCTCAAATATGTCTGGCAATCCCACTGCATCTTGCTATCTAAATTATTCTTGTAGCTCCATAAATACTTCAGATCTACTCCATGGCTTTTGCGTCATGCACATACTTATCTTTATCATACTTTACACAGATAGAATTTCCTTCTCCTACAAAGATGAATTAAATTTTCTCACCAATTACCTTAGCTCTCTGTCATGAAGTCTACAGTTATACTTTAATCCGTACCCATCCATTACTACTTCTTGCCCATAAAACTGAAGTATTTTCTTCCCTTGTCATGTTTAATGGATTCAAACTAAAACTTTATCTCCTGCCCTTGGGAGCTTCATGTTACCACTTACACAATAAATCTCCTTTACCAGCTCCCTCTCCTACTCTTCCCAATCTATCATCATGAAGCTTTTGAAATAAAAACCTCATTTAAACCTATTTTCTCTCTAGTATCTGCTTTCCTTTGCTTTCCCTCACAGTTGAACTGAAAATTGAAAGTCAAAGTGGTAGCATTTCCTCATCCCCTCTCACCGTTTGACTTACTAAGACCACCAATGGTCTGTTCATTAATATGTCTTGCCAGCACCACCAATAATTGTTCCATCAAATACCTAATGGGTGATCCTTAGTCTTTTACTTAGAACAAAACAGAACTGAACTATTATCTGCCTTTCATACTACTGTTTTAAAATTACTCTGTAGTCTCTATTCCCCTGAGTTCTCTGCAAAGAGCACAAATCATACTATTAAAATGACCCAGAATTCCATCCTAGACTCTCTTCTCTCTTCTTTTTGCACACTATCTTGGAACTCTTAATTCAATTGCTTCCATTTCTTCCGTTGCTATCTCCAAACTGACAGTGACAGATTCTTGTCTGGATTCTACTTCTGAGATCATTTCCACTTGCACAGTTGCAGACAATGAAATGTCTACGGACATTACCTCCCCCACAAAACCATATAAAAATACACCCCCTAGTCACCAATATTTGTTAATGACAACACCAGGCATCCATGAACCAATCTTTTACAGGGCTCCTAAGAAGTGGACAATCACAATTAAGCATGACTTTATCTGTTCCCTGTTTACTATCACCCTTCATCCACATGAACATCCACCCCAATCCACACACATTTTTTTCTTCATTCTTCCTTTCCCACAGTCTAAACATACATGTCACTTCTCGGAGAACTATTCTCGATCTCAGCCTATTGTACTTATTTATGTACTGTATACTTCCACTAATCTAATTACAGAAAATCAACTCTTTTTTTTTTTTTTTTTTTTGAGACAGGGTCTCTCTCTGTCCCCCCAGGCTGGAGTGCAGTGGTATGATCACAGCTCTGTGTAACCTCCAATTCCTGGGTTCAGGGTGGTCCTCCTGCCTCAGCCTTCTGAGCAGCTAGGACTACAGGCATGAGCCACCACCATGCCCAGGTAACTTTAAATTTTTTTGTAGAGATGGGACCTCAGTATGTTTGCCATGCTGGTATCCAACTTCTGTCCTCAAGTGATCCTCCTGACTCAGCCTTCTAAAGTGGTGGGATTACAGGCATTAACCAACAAGCCCAGCCCAGAAAAATCAACTCCTGTGTGCCAAGATTAGATAAGTTTTCCTCTGACCATTACATACGAACTAGAATTTGAGAAAAATTACATGTCCACAGTAACCTAAACTCCCCTCAGAGAGCTTGCCACCAAATACCTGTAGTCCAATTAAACAATAATAATTTTCACATTAAAATTTATTGACCGAAATAAATGGGGTGTGTCTGCCCTGGCGAAAATTTCTCCAGTACTCACCAGAAACCAAACAGAGGAAAATCCAATGGAGCCAGGTGTTTATGGTGGTCGCTGTCACCACACTCCGGTGCTCAGAGCTTCTTCCACTCTCCCAGGAAAGCACCATTTGAGTGGTGAACCCTCTTTTTATGCAGTTGATAACCTCATCAATTATGTGCTAATCAGTCCTATCATCTCATCAACCATATAATCCAAAGGACCCAGCTGAATAACTTGGGTCCTGTTAAGCCAAATCTAATCAAGCCTAGCCTCTTTAGCGAAACATTTCTCCTCAGGCAAATTGTGTATATCCAGTTAAGGAAAGTTGATTATGTCCCCGGATTTTGCACCCAAGTTATTCAGGTGTGGTGACGGCGACCTCCATAAAGACCTGGCACCATTGAATTTTCCTCTGTTTGGTTTCTGGATTTAGAGCCACAGGAAATCTTGGGATTACAACTTTGTTTGCTGCACATAAACCTTGAACAAATCTCCAACTTGTCCATTAGATTTTTGACTGGTAGGATCGGAATGTTGTAGGGACTAGGCAAGGGATTATAAATCCTCATTTAATTAATTCCTCTATAATTGTTGAAAGTCCCTGAACTGCCTCCAATTTTAGTGGATATTGGGAAAATTTAGGCAATGGTTTAGAATAGTCTATTTGATATTTTATAGGTTTAATACTTTTAATTTTTCTTATGTCATTTGAGAAGAACACCCACAACATTTGAGTACTTTAGAAAGGTGAGGGTTTGTGTACATCTGAGTGTCAATGTTATCAATTCCTGCCTGTAGAGAACAGAGAACTTTGTGTTCTGGTGAATCTGGAAACTCCAAGATGATTTCTCCCTTGAAAGAGAATGTTATGTGTTCTCTCAACTCAGAAAGTAAATCTCATTCCATCAAATTTCCTGGGGCAGTATCACATAGGAGGAAAGCATGTTTTTCTAAAACGGTCCAAGCATGATTTGGACAGGTTGAGACATGAGGATTCCCTGGATATGATTTGAAACACCCACCACAGAAATATTTTTTTACTCAGAGGGATATTTTGATTTATTAGAGTTGTTATTAAAGTGAATACAGTGACTCTAGTAACCACAAATAGTGTACAAGAATCTTCATCATCTTAATATTAGTTAATAGCTAAGATTTGGAAGCAACCTGTGTCCATCAACAAATGAATGAATAAAGAAAATGTGTTATGTATACACAGTGGAGTACTATTCATCTATTAAAAACAAAGAGATCCAGTCACTTGCAACAATATGGATGGAACTGAAGATCATTATATTAAGTGAATTCAGCCAGGCACAGAAAGACAAACATGACATGTTCTCACGTATTTGTGGGATCTAAAAATGAAAACAATTGGGCTGGACGCGGTGGTGCACACCTGTAATCCCAGCACTGTGGGAGGCTAAGAGGGGGCAGATCACGAGGTCAGGAGTTTGAGACTAGCCTGGCCAACATGGTGAACCCCCATCTCTACTAAAAATAAAAAAATTAGCTGGGCATGGTGGTGGGCACCTGTAATCCCAGTCACTCGGGAGGCTGAGGCAGGAGAATTGTTTGAACCCAGGAGGCGGATGCTGCAGTGAGCCAAGTTCATGCCATTGTACTCCAGCCTAGGCGACAGGGTGAGACTCTGTCTCAAAAAAACAAAACACAAAACACAAACAAATAGAAAAGAAAATAATTCAACTCATGGACATATAGAGTAGAAGGATGGTTACCACAGGTTGGGAAGGGTAGTGGGTTGGAGAGCTGGCAGTGGGGAGGTGGGAGTGGTTAATGGGTACAAAAAAATAGAATGAATAAAACCTACTATTTGATAGCACAATAGGGTGACTATAGTCAATAATAACTTAATTGTACATTTAAAAATAACTAGAAGAGTGTAATTGGATTGTTTGTAACTCAAAGGATAAATGGTTGAGGGAATGCATTACCCCATTCTCAATGATGTGCTTATTTTACATTGCATTCTATATCATAATATCTCATGTACCCCATAAATATATATACCTACTATGTACCCACATTTTTTTTTAACTTCAAAAAAAGGTATTACAGGAAGTACCTCACCAGATAATTCCTCAGGTCCTCCACCCCTGCAGAGTGGATTATTGTCAAACCCTCAAGGACTTTCTCTGATGGGAAAACAGTGTGGCCCAAAGGGAGCCAGCCTATTAGAGGACTACTTCAAGAGTGGATGACATGTCTTCCAGAGACCTCACTGTTTGCAATGAATGCAGCCATCTCGAGATACAGACCTCACCCAGGGTTCCTTTGTTTAGGACAGCTCAGTTTTGAGTTATAATATATATAAGGAGGTCTGTTCCTTTAGCTGTTGTACGTACGATATTAGTTTATTAGCCTGTTCATTCTTTCTTTTAGCATGTTTTATTGCTCTAAATGTCTTTCAAAGAGCTTACTCGTAGTGACCAATTGGGTCATATCAATGACTTTCTATCCAATATTATGTTTTTTAATCTGGTCACCAAGCTCTGTTAAGAGTTTATTCATTTAAAAGACTGTAAAGCACTTCAGTTGTTCCATTATGTATTTTAAGCCTAGAATGATTTTATACATAAAATTTTAGTCCAGGTCTGTAATAAGGAACTGGTTTATACTTTTTGTTTGTTTTCATGAAATGGACCAGGCAATTTTTTGTGGGAAGACAATGGGAATAGCACTTAAGAGGTATTTTTTTTTTCCCTGATATCCTTTGTGCCACTCCTGTAGGAGTAGCTTTTGAAGGAACAGTAATACAGTTATAAATTTTGTTTTTTAATCTTTTTGAGACAGATTCTTACTATGTCACCCAGACTGGAGTACAGTGGCACAATCATGGCTCAGTGCAACCTTGACTTCCTGGTCTCAAGCCATCCTCACATCTCAGCCTCCTGAGTACTTGGGACTACAGGCGCATGCCACCACATTCAGCTAACTTTGTTTTCTGTTGTAGAGCCATGGTCGCACTATGTTGCCCAGGCTGGCCTTGAACTCCTGGGCTCAAGAGATCGTCCCACCTCAACCTCCCAAAGTCCTTGGATTTCAGGTATGAGCCACTGTGCTGATCCTAACCATGGTTAAAATCTGACAAAAGTTCCCAATTGACAAGAAAATTTGGTTATATTTATTATATGTAGCATTTTATAACAACCAGAATCATGTCTTACAGCTTCACATCAGGTCCCTGAGATCTTTATAAGTTGTATATAAAATTAGAATACTTACATTTATAATATATTTATATGAATATAACTTTAGAAGATATTTAACAAAAGTATGACTGATAACAGATTTTCATGAATTCATATAATTTTTGGAACATTTATGTCAATAACATGCCTATAAGTGTAACTGAAAGATCTTCCATCACTTAGCACTTGACAATGTCTCCCATATATTTTATCAAATAAGTCTAACCATTTAATCTCTATAAAGTAAGAAGCAATATTTTTAAGGGTTTCCAGGGGTCAACCTTCAAAATCCCAAAGTTAGTTTTAGGCCAAAAAGAATTAATGTAGGTTTTCAATCTTGAAGAAACCTGCCAAAGATGTCAGAAGACTCGAAACACTCAATCAAGCAGAATCAGGGGTCATCGTTAAATAATAGCAATACATAAAGTTACTTGGATGTAAAAACATGAACCCTTTTATAGCTCTGTTTTCCTAAGTAATCTAAAACCTAATTAAGAGAAGACAAGAGTTGCCTTGAAAACATGTACAGTCTTTATTTTTGTCTTTTAGGCTAGTTATTAGAAAGGTAAAAAAAAAATTTCCTGTAGTGTGATTGCTTTTGTTTATAAGAAGCCCATTTAGATTATTTGGAAGTGAAAAGGTTACTTGAATTTCATCAGACAGGTGGAGAGTGTCCGGGACTGTGAGTGTACTCTGTATTATAGAGAAACGTAACCGAAAAACTGGTACCTTGGACAGGGAAATCCATGGCTCTTAGTAACCACATGAAAAGTTATCTGACTATACATATGGAATAATTTTGATATATCAAGAAAAACGGGCCAGCTTTGGTGGCTCACGCCTGTAATCCCAGCACTTTGGGAGGCTGAGGTGGGATGGTCTCTTTACCCAGGAGTTTGAGATCAGGCTGGAACATAGCGAGACCCCATCTCTATGAAACTAAAAATAAAAACTTAGCCAAGCGTGGCTGGTGTTGTGGGAGGAACCAGGTGAGAGGTAATTGAATAATGGAGGTAAGTCTTTCCCGTGCTGTTCTCGTGATAGTGAATAAGTCTCATGAGATCTGATATTATAAGAAAGAGCTTCTCTGCACAAGCTCTGTCTTTGCCTGATGCCATCCTCCTAAGATGTGACTTGCTTCTCCTTGCCTTTTGCCATGATTGTGAGGCCTCCTCAGCAATGTGAAACTGTAAGTCCATTAAACCTTTGTTTTTTTTAAAAAATTGCCCATCCTCAGGTATGTCTTTATCAGCAGCATGAAAATTAGACTAATATTATAAATTGTTACCAGTAGAGTTGGGTGCTGCTGAAAAACTAGCCGAAAATGTGGAAGCGACTTTGGAACTGGGTAACAGGCAGAGGTTCTAACACTTTGGAGGGCTTAGATGAAGACAAGAAAATATGAGAAAGTTCAGATCTTCCTAGAGACTTGTTGAATGGCTTTAACCAAAATGCGGATAATGATATGGACAATGAAATCCAGGCTGAGGTGGTCTCAGATGGAGATGAGGAACTTGTTAGGAACTGGAGCAAAGGTGACCCTTGTTATGTTTTAGCAAAGAGACCACCAGTATTTTGCCCCTGCCCTAGAGATATGTGGAACTTTGAACTTGAGAGAGATGATTTAGGGTATCTGGCAGAAGAAATTTCTAAGCAGAAAAATGTTCAAGATGTGACTTGGGTGGTGTTAAAGGCATTCAGTTTTATAAGGGAAGCAGAGCATAAAAGTTCAGAATATTTGCAGCCTAACAATGTCATAGAAAAGAAAATCCCATTTTCTGAGGGGAAATTCAACCCAGCTGCAGAAATTTGCGTAAGTAATGAGGAGCCAAATGTTAATCCCCAAGACAATGGGGAAAATATCTCCAGGCCTTGTCAAAGATTTTCACAGCATCCCCGCCTATCACAGGCCTGGAGGCCAAGGAGCAAAAGTGGTTTCATGGGCCAGGCACAGGGTCCCTGTATTATGTGCAGCCTAGGGACTTTGTGCCCTGCATCCCAGCCACTCCAGCCATGGCTGAAAGGGGTCAATGTAGAGTTTGGGCTGTGGCTTCAAAGAGTGCAAGCCCCAAGCCTTGGCAACTTCCACATAGTGTGGAGCCCACGAGTACATGGAAGTCAGGAACTGGGGTTTGGGAACCTCTGCCTAGATTTCAAACAATGTATGGAAATGCCTGGGTGCCCAGGCAGAAGTTTGCTGCAGGGGTGAGGCTCTCATGGAGAACCTCTGCTAGGGCAATGTGGAAGGGAAATGTAGGGTTGGAGCTCCCACACAGAGTCCCTACTGGGGCACCACCTAGTGGAGCTGTGAGAAGACGCCCACCATCCTGCAGACCCCAGAATGGTAGATCCACCAACAGTTTGCACTGTGCATCTGGAAAAGCTGCAGACACTCAATGCCAGTCCATGAAAGCAGCTGGGAGGGCAGCTATATCCTGAAAAGCCACAGTGGCAGAGCTGCCCAAGACCATGGGGGCCCATCTCTTTCATCAGCATGACCTGGGTATGAGACATGGAGTCAAAGGAGATCATTTTGGAGCTTAAGATTTGACTGCCTCGCTGGATTTTGGACTTGCTTGGGTCCTGTAGCCCCTTTGTTTTGGCCAGTGTTTTGGGCCATGTATTGTTACTAACCTGTGAATTGCCTGATTATATTTATTTTTATTTTTTTGTTTTCTCTCAGATTTTTGTTATAATTAAATTTTATTCTAAATTTTCTAAAGAATGTTTTCATGTTTTCCAGTTTTATACTTAGCACTTGCATACCATGTTTGTTCATGGATATCACAAAAGGCAAGGATTTAATTACATTTATTTCCATTCGTGATTAGTGATATGCAGGGCCATCTCTAACCCCAAAATTTAGGCTCAGCACAGGAGGTCAGGTGGGTTCTTGGCTTTAAGCAGGAAAGAATTTAAGAATGAGCCACCACAGCGGAGTGAAAGCAAATGTATTAAAAAGTGAAGGAATACAAGTGCGGCTGCTCCACAGGCAGAGCAGGGCTACCCCACAGGCTGCTAGATGGGTATTTTATAGCTATTTCTTGATTGTATGCTAAATAAGGGGTGGATTATTCATGAGTTTTCTAGGAAAGGGGCAGAGAACGCCTGGAATAAGTTGTTTTCCCCACAGACCATTTAGAATAAATTCCAGACATTGCCATGGCACTTGTGAACTGTGATGACACTGGTGGGGGTATTTTCTAGCATGCTAATGCATTATAATTCGCATATAATGAGCAGTGAAGGTTGCTGTTCTAACCACCTTTCTTCTAGCTGATTTAGGCTGGTTTCTTTACTGTATCCTCTTATCAAGGTAGAAGGTGGGGCTGGGACACTGGACCAGGTTGAGGAGCAGCTAAAAAGGGACTGGAGCAGAAGCGGCTTTCCAATCAGACATGCCCACCAATGTGCCATGTCAATTTACCATTACCAAGGCAACACCCAGGGGTTACCACACCTTTCCATGGGAATGACCTAATGACCGGAAAGTCACTATCCCTTCCCTAGAGTTTTCTGCATAAACAGCCCCTTAATCTGCATGCAATTAAAAGTGGATATAAAGTTGACTGCGGCGGCCGGGCGCGGTGGCTCAAGCCTGTAATCCCAGCACTTTGGGAGGCCGAGACGGGCGGATCACGAGGTCAGGAGATCGAGACCATCCTGGCTAACACGGTGAAACCCCGTCTCTACTAAAAATACAAGAAAACTAGCCGGGCGAGGTGGCGGGCGCCTGTAGTTCCAGCTACTCGGGAGGCTGAGGCAGGAGAATGGCGTGAACCCGGGGGGGCGGAGCTTGCAGTGAGCTGAGATCGCGCCACTGCACTCCAGCCTGGGCGGCAGAGCGAGACTCCGTCTCAAAAAAATAAATAAATAAATAAATAAATAAATAAAGTTGACTGCAAAACTGCCCTGAGCTGCTACTGTCTGCCTATGGAGTAGCCCTGCTCTGCAGGAGCAGTCACAGAGCTGTAACCCTGCTGGAGCTATAACACTGCCTCTTCAATAAAGTTGTTTTCTTTGACCTCTAGTTTGCCCTTGAATTATTTCCTGGGCAAAGCCAAGCACCCTCTGGGCTAAGCCCCACTGTGGGGCTCACCTTGCATCAGCTTGGCACCCAACATGGCATGAAGAAAAAAGACAGTGTCATGGGAGATGGCAATTGGTAATTGAGGAGTGGCAATCTGCCAGTCAGCAGCCAGCAGCAGTCTGTGAATCAGTGATTGGCCAGCAGCAGTCTGCAATGCAGCAGTTGACAATAGGCTAGCAGCAGTCAGTGATCAGGGGGATGCTGGTCAGCGGGACAGTGATCAGCAGGATGGCAGTTGGTGGGATGAGGAGTTGAAAGGCGTCGAAGCCTAGCTGTAACATCTGAGCTGAACACAAACCAAAGGTTCTTTTCAGAACCATCATTTTCCCTGGCAGGCAGTGGAGCCATTCAGATGGGCAAACAGCCATAGTGACACTGCCTCATGTGGGGCCTACCACTCCCACCAGCAGCCTGGTGGGTTACTGACACAGTGCAGGCCCCTCCCACTGCAGCAGCTGAGCCCACTGGCAGGGCAGCCATAGTGTCACCACCTTATGTGACACCCACCTCTCTGACTGGCAGACAGAGAGTTACTGGGTTACTGGACCCCCTGTGCAGGTCCCGCCCATTGTGGCAGTTAAGTCCACCCCAGCTGAGGTATCCTGGGGAGAGCTTTACCTGGGTCCCATGGGGAAAATCCGTCAGCACCACATCTGTCCTGCTGGACAAGTAAGTGTCCCTTCTGCCCCCACCCCCATAGTATCAGGAGAACTAGGAAATAAAATAAAAGCCTTTGGCTAGACCACGTCCTTGTCACCCCTTCCGTGAGTGCTTTCTCTTCAGACTCCATTGTATTGTTCCATTAGTTATTTTATTTTCAGTCCTAAAATGTGTGCAGTCTTGTGTTTGGTTTTAACTTTGTTAATTGTTTGGGGGCAATTAAGGCAGGGTACTTGGTTGTGAGAGGTCCCCACTGTTTTCACTCTGGGATGCTAGAGTCATGTTGTTTGGTGACCCCAATTTGGTCTTGGATTGACTGTTGGCCACTCTCTGGGTGCCCCAGGGTTTTCAGCATTTGGTGAAGGGAACCTTTTTGGTTGAAACTTGGCTCTTCTGAGTTTTCAGCACTGGTATTTTGGCCACCCTCCAGATGCTCTGGGGTATTTGTGTTGATATTCCCTCTAGGATTCTGAGGGATATATGAGTTATAGCCCTCTCCCTAGGGGAGTATTGGTCTTGCCCTTTTCTGCCCTATAAGTTAGAAGTATTTTAATAGCAAGTTGCTAACCTCTTCCTGTGTGCTGTCTTCCAACTAGCTTGCTCAAGCCACTCTTGGTCAAAGGAATTGGGAGTTATCAGGCCCCTGGCATAATGGAGAACCACCTACAATGGTAGAAAATTGGCCATGTGAGTACTTTTTTCAGTGTCTCTGCTACTGGATAGGTTCTCCAGCAGGTTAGGGCCTCTGAGGTCTCCCCTTGGGCAACACTGTTTACCTCTTCCGTTTCTCCCTTCCACAGTCCCTCCCTTCCATTTGTTTAGCCCACCTCTCTACCAACTGTTGCTCTCTGTGGCATTTAGGTTCAAAATCCAACTGCCCATTTGAAGCTCATAATCCACTTAAGGATTAAAGCTCATAAGCCCTAAGGAACTTGACTCAAACCCTTAGAAACCTTAGCCACCATCACAGGTCAGGCATGAAAGGGAATTCAAGTCCTTAGACTCTGGCAAATGTAATTCTCTATAAGAGACTAGCGTTGAATTATTTACTAGCTGAACAAGGAGTCTGTGAAGTTATTAGTAAAACCTGCTGCACATATATTAACAAATCTGGACAAGTTGAGATTAACATTCAAAAGATCTATGAGCAAGTTACCTGGTTACATAACCAGGGCACTGACTCCCAACTATATCTGGTCAACTATCAAAAGTACCTTCCGAGTCTCACCTGGTTTTTACATCTCCTAGGACCTTTGATAGCTATCCTGTTACTATTCTTTGTCACTTCCTTGTTTAACCTCTTAGTAAAGTTTGCGTCTTCTGGATTACAAAACTTCCAGGTAAAGACAATGCTGGCAGAAGAATTCCAACCCATCCTGTCTACTGACCCAGATAATGAAAAAGTGTCCTGCCTCTGGGTCCCTTAGTTGAGTTACCCAGGTATTTTTACTCCTCCAGTGCTAGGCAGGGCCTATGCCCATAAGCTCAGCAGGCAACAGTGACAGAATACAGACCTCTGCCCTTCTACAGCACCCTTAAGATTAAGGAGGAATATGTAATCTCTGAGGAGAGGATGAGGTAGGAGGTGGAACTTCACTCCAGAGGCAGGGCTCAGACACTGGACCAGATTGAGGATTAGCTAAAACAAAGCCAGAGCAAAAGCAACTTTCCAGACATACCCACCAGTGTACCATATCTATTTACCACGGCCATGGCAACACCTGGGGGTTACCTCCCTTTCCATGGCAATGACCTGATGACTCAAAACTTACTACCCCTTACCTAAAAAGTTCTGCATGAATCACTAATCTGATATCAAAGGAAATCTGGCTGTGCATGTGTGTGCTCTTACTATGGGTATCTGATACCTTGGCATCAACACAGAAACCCAGGACTGGGAGCAGGGACACATGTGGCACAGGGGGAAAATATACTGACTTCTGTCACAGCCCAAAAGAGCAGGGTCTTATGGTGGCATGTGGTAAATGGGGCAGGTGACACCAACGGATTTAATGTGATTTTAAGCTGTGAACTGTGGAGAACTTTTTCCTATAGAAATAGTCATTATTGTGAAAATTCTGATTTAAATATTTCACCCATAAAAATAGTTGAACCATTACTTGGCTTAAAATATTTGAGTTAAACATTTTTGTTCCCATCATGACTTTGTGGCTTTCACTGGACCAACCCACCATTAACAGTAACAAAACTTAAATGAAATACATGAAACAGCTGCTTTAAGGCATGAGGGTAGCCTGTTCACACAGGATTTTCTGAGGTAGAATTCATGAGAAAGGGGAGAGTCAATGATGTATCACACTGGTTTTTCTTAAGCACTTGAAAATTAGCATGAAGGGAACATAAAGCCCCAGAAGAAAGACAGCCCACCTAGTTGAAAAAAAATAAGCAGAAATTTTTGTTTTGTGCAAAATAGTGGGGCTTCTGCTTCTGGGTAGGATGCAGTGAATAAAGATGAAACAAATATAGGAAAAAAAAAAAAAAAAAAACGGATTCATTCAAATTGTAAGCTTTAAAGGCCAGAGAGGAAGACATAAGATTCCAAAAGTAAAAGAGCCTTTGTTAGGAGAAGTGAGAATATTAAATATTTACACACAGAACAGAAAGGTTCTTAAAGAAAAAAAAGCCCATGGCAACAAAAATCTCTATGTTACGACACTTGTACCTGATTCTGGGAGATATTCATGCAAATTTAACCACAATTATCCAGCACTGCCAATTTTTATTTAAATAGATTCATTTGTAATTAGTTCTATTTTTGCAATGTTAAATTTTGTAATATATTGCCTATAGTTATCAATACTATATTATATACTTTAAAATTTGCTACAGGTTGTTATGTAAGTGGTTTTATCATAAAGAAAACAATGAAAAACGAGGGAAGCAACCTTTGGAGAGGATGAATGTGGCAAAGATGGTGGTGATGGCTTCATGGGCTTATCCTTATCTCTAAACTTATTAAGTTGTATACATTAAATAACAGCTTTTGTCAATTCACTTTGATAAAGTGGTTTAAAAACAAAAAGGCAAATTTATGCACCATAAGACTGTACTTTTAAAGTGAGTCTTTCATAATCCATGTTTGATTTAATCATTACCATGTACATATATACCATTAATATAGTTAGGACATATAATTTTGTGTTCTACGTGTATTAGTTCCATTGAATGTCACTGTCTTTTTGTTTTGAGCCAGAGTTGCACTTTTTTGCCCAGGTTGGAGTGCAGTAGCATGATCTTGGCTCACTGTAACCTCCGCCTCCTGGGTTCAAGTGATTCTCCTGCCTCAGCCTCCTGAATAGCTAGGACTACAGGCATACACCATCATGCCCAACTAATTTTGTATTTTTAGTAGACATGGGGTTTCACCATGTTGGCCAGGCTGGTGTCGAACTCCTGACCTCAAGTGATCCATCCATATCAGCCTCCCAAAGTGCTGGGATTACAGGTGTGACCCACCATGCCCGTCCCCATTTTCTAACTGACCCAAATCTATGTGTTTAAAACTGAATTAAAAACATAGAGTTTGGGCTGGGCACGGTGGCTCATGCCTGTAATCCCAGCACTTTGGGAGGCCGAGGCAGGCAGATCACAAGGTCAGGAGATTCAGACCATTCTGGCTAATACAGTGAAACCCCATCTCTACTAAAAATACAAAAAATTAGCCGGGTGTGGTGGCGGGTGCCTGTAGTCCCAGCTACTTGGGAGGCTGAGGCAGAAGAATGGCGTGAACCCAGGAGGTGGAGCTTGCAGTGAGCCGAGATCATGCCACTGCACTCCAGCCTGGGCGACAGAGCGAGACTGTTTAAAAAACAAACGAACAACAACAACAAAAAATTGGAGTTTAATCAACCTATTATTCAGCAACGACATTTAATGCTTGCATTTTTGACAGTACTAATTTAATCTTATTACTTCTTACACAATTCTGCATTCAATATTCCCAGGTTATTTCAGAATTGTACATTTCATCCAACATATTTTAAGTAGAAAGTCTGCTCAAAACCATAATTTTTTTTCTCAAGCATGTGCTTGATGGCTTTATGTCTTGTCCCCCAGCTATACATCTCAATGGCTTTTTAGAGTTTTCTTCCCTGTCTTTTTTGACAGGAAAGCTGCCTGACGGTTCTTCTACTATCATGTCAAGATTGTTTTCTCAGTGGAAAAATGCTGGTATTGACTAAGGCATGAGTAATTTACTGAGGACTGCCCTCCATTCATGTCACTGAGCGTTCTACACCATGTGAATTCTGATCTATTATAGAAGTGCTGCTGTATTAAGAAAAGGATTTCTCACTGAATAATTTCTCTACTATGAATTTCTGGAATTGTGCAAGAGGCCTCATCCACCTAATAAAAATATTTTCACAAATTTCCTGTTTTTATCAGTTATCTGATAATGAATTTTCTTGCAGACACCAAAACTGGTGCTTAGCTGAATGACAGTGCACAGCAATTACAGACATATGGTTGCTCGCCTGTCGATTTTACTCATTTGTTTAAAGGATGGCATTTTCACATTGACGACAGGTACAGAATTTTTGTGATGTGATTTCTCCTGTTTGTTTAACAGTTAGAGCTTTGGATGAAGACTCCTCCACATTCCTTTGATCTATAGTTTCATTCTCTCATAGTTTGTGCCATACAGCTTAAATACATATGGATTCTCCCTACTTTGGATTCATTTAGGTTGAGCAAAGTGGTGATTACAAATAAAGGCTTTTCCACACTGATTACAGACATAATGTTCCTGTTGTATGTCAGTCCTTGGGTGTATTTAGTGTTAACGCTATGGTTGATGACTCTTACATATTCATTACTTTTTTAGTGTGAGTTCTCTCATGTTGTCTAAGGTTAAAAAATTTACTAAAGGCTTTTCCACATAGAGGACATACATATGGTTTCTCTCCAGTGTGAACTCTTTTATGAAGTCTAAAGTTATAACTTCTATTGAAGGCTTTACCACATATATTGCATTCATATGGTTTCTCTCCCGTGTGAGTTCTCTCATGTCGTCTAAGGACAGAAGAGTGATTGAAGGCCTTTCCACATAGGTGGCATTCATATGGTTTTTCTCCAGTGTGAGTTCTCTCATGTCGTCTAAGGTCAGAAGATTCAGTGAAGGCTTTCCCACATACATGACACTCGTATGGTTTCTCCCCAGTGTGAATTCTCTCATGTCGTTTAAGCACAGAAGATTCAGTGAAGGCTTTTCCACATAGATGACATCCATGTGGTTTCTCTCCATTGTGACTTCGCTCATGTTGTCTAAGGTGAGAACAATGAGAGAAGGCTTTTCCACATAGATGACATTCATATGGTTTCTCTCCATTGTGAGTTCTTTCATGTTGTCTAAGGTAAGAACATTTACTGAAAGCCTTCCCACATAGATGGCATCCATATGGTTTATCTCCTAAGTGAGTTCGCTCATGTTTTCTAAGGTCAGAGCAATGAGTGAAGGCTTTCCCACATAGATGGCATACCTGTGCTTTCTCTCTAGTGTGAATCATCTCATGTCGTCTAAGGTTAGAACTTTTACTGAAGGCTTTCCCACATAGATGACATCCATATGGCTTCTCTCCAGTGTGAGTTCTCTCATGTTTTCGAAGATCAGAGCAATGAGTAAAGGCTTTCCCACATAGATGACATCCGTGTGGTTTCTCTCCAGTGTGAATCATCTCATGTCGCCTAAGATTAGAATTTTTGCTGAAGGTTTTCCCACACACATGACATTCCAATGTTATCACTCTAGTGTGAGTCACATTGTGTGGTCTAAGGGCAGAGTTTTGGATAAAGGCATAATCAAATAGATGACCTTCATCTGATTTACATCTGGTGTGAATTTCCTTGTGTTGACTAAAGGATAACCAGTCACTGAACGTTTTCCCAAACTTTTTGCTTACAAAGTGTTTCTTTCTCATGTAAGTAATCACATTTTGAGTCAATGCTGTATGTTCAGTGACATCTTCTCCTAAATCATTACATAGAAAAGGATCCTCTTGAGTATGAGATCTCTGGTTTTTGGAAGGAAATGAAAGACTATTAAAGGTTTATCCACACTCATTCATTCATTACTTCATTCATTTCTCTACATACTAATTCTAGAGTAATCATTCAGTAGTAGATTCCAGTTACAATTGTTCCTGTATCAGTTATATAAACATGGTGCATTATCTAACTGCATGTAGAGAGTTTTTCTGTTGTAGCATCCCAACTGAAGAGCTTTCTGACTAGTATTAAGACTTTATCCTGTTTGAAAGTTTCAGCACATAGTAAAATTTATACAATTGTCCCGTTATAAGGCCTCATGTTATGGTTTTGATGTCAAGTTAATGTCTTCACTACATCCAAACTAACTAAAACTCTGCTGGGAGGGCTTTAAGTACAGTCAGGTACCTGTACCAAATTCCAAAGTTGTTCAATGTCCAGGTTTCTATATGGAAGAACAGGGTTCGCATCCATAAAGCTTACCTACCATTGTGCTGATGGTGGATGTGCCCTTCTGATAGGTATGTTGAATGAATGGTATCTCTTGATGTTTAATGTCACCTTCTCTACCTGAAATAAATTTTTTTAAAAAAGATGCTATACAGGCATTAGGGGAATAAAAATGTTAAATAGCTACAATGCCTATTTGAGTGTGTTTCAAATACACACAGACAGGGAAGGCATGTTAAATTAATGATACTTTAAGAAGAAGAGTATTATAGGAAATTGACTACTGACATTTTCAGCATATAAAAAAATAAAGAAGGCAAGTTAAGGAAGTAAAGGAAAGAAAAATTTTCAAAGAAGAGGACCATTATAAAGGGCTACTATGTAATAGTTTAACTCAAATAAGTACACAAATATCCCCTTTACAAAAGCCAAAGACAATGACAGAGATATACTTGAATAAAAATTGACACCTACAAAGTATAATGTCAATATCTGAGAAATGTTTCCCTCAGGCTTTTGCCTACATTTCAGAAACACTGCAAATTTAAGAAACCTTCCAGCTGGGCGTGGTAGCTCATGCCTGTAATCCCAGCACTCTGGGAGGCCGAGGTGGATGGATTTCCTGAGGTCAGGAGTTTGAGACCAGCCTGGCCAACATGTTGAAACCCCGTCTCTACTAAAAATAGGAAACAATTAGCTGGGCATGGTGGTGTACACCTGTAGTCCTAGCTACTCAGGAGGCTGAGGCAGGAGAATCACTTGAATCTGGGAGGCAGAGGTTGCAGTGAGCCGAGATCGTGCCACTGCACTCCAGTCTGGGTGACAGAACAAGATTCTGTCTAAAAAAAAGGAAAAAAGAAATCTTCCTTTGGCAACTGTTGGGGCCTACTCACTCACTGGCCATGTTTCTCCTCCTCCTATTGAGCACTGCTTCTTAGAGCTCACCTTGCAGTAAGCTCATTCCTTGTGTTGAAAGTTTCTCTACATGCTGCAAATGAGAAAGCACAACTGATTTGCAGAGCTGTTTGCCTGTTTTTGGGAAAAAGATACATGGATTTTGAGTTCTGTGCTGACAAATGTACAAGGTTATCAGGTACAGGGTAGGCTACTGGGAAGGATAAGTTAGCCACTGAAGGTCAGCCTGGGAAGATTACCTTGAAGACAACATTGACAGTCCTTTATGAGCAAAAGGAAAACTCTTGAACTTGTTCCCAGACATAAAAGACCAATAATTGCTGATGGTCATGCCTCACTTCAAATACTGATTGCAGAATCCTCAGTATTTTCACTTATTGCAGTGAAAATCCTCAGTATTTTCACTCAGTATTTTCCCTGTATTTTCTCACAGTGAGAAATTACAAGTTGTCATAGTGTTTGACATTATATTAAAAAATAATGCAATAAATACTAGCTCCACCAGAACAATCTAGGTTCTGTGCAGAACAGTCCCTATGATAGAACAATTACTTTAAAGAAATCAATACATTTATTTATGCATTCAAAAGCAGTGAATTTTCATAACTTTTCTGAGTTTGGGAGATTGAAGAGCAAGAAGGATGTGAAATTGTGGTCAAAAAGATGACATTCTAGAGAGAGGACAAATCAATATAAGTGAAAAGGAAATAAATGGCTGTCAGGTAATTGTGAGAGTTATGAAAGGATCAAGGCAGAGGTTGAAGTGACAGATGAGAAAGCTGTTCTAGAAACATGTAGAATGAATGAATGAATCAGTGAAAAACAGGTGAGTGAATGAATACATATATACATACATACATAATAAATATAAAGAGACTCACCAATAGAGACCAGATGACTGATGTTCTCCAACATCACATCTTGAAACAGCTTTCTCTGGGATGTGTCCAGCAGGGCCCACTCTTCCCGAGTGAAGTCTACAACTATATCCTCGAAGGTCATGGAATCCTAAAACATTATGGACATTCTACTGCAAACAGGGCTATCTCTGCCAATGTTCAGTGGAGCAAGATAAAGTGACTGTCCTAAGGAAGTGTGGGTGGTATGAAAGAAAACTCAAACAGTGTTTGGGGTTCCTGTCACATCCCTTTAAATCTGAACTGGGAATCTGGCTTTCAGATACACTAAAGACATAAAACTTCACATAGAGAAATATCACATGATATAACCTGAAGATTTCCCAATAGACTTCTAAGTATAACTTCCAGATACTAATTATGAAATCTTGACTTGTAAATTTAGAACTAAAATTCTCCTCTCCACCACCTTCAAGAAAATCCATAAGCCAGGCGTGGTGGCTCACGCCTGTAATCCCAGCACTTTGGGAGGTGGAGGCGGGCGGATCACGAGGTCAGGAGATCGAGACCATCCTGGCTAACATGGTGAAACCCCGTCTCTACTAAAAATACAAAAAATCAGCTGGGTGAGGTGGTGGGCGCCTGTAGTCCCAGCTACTCAGGAGGCTGAGCCAGGAGAATGGCGTGAACCCGGGAGGCAGAGGTTGCCGTGAGCCGAGATCGTACCACTGCACTCCAGCCTGGGTGACAGCGAGACTCCGTCTCAAAAAAAAAAAAAAAGAAAAAAAAAGAAAATCCGTAGACTCACTACAAGGGAGGCAGTATCCACAATTTGTCACATTTTAATCAATACTTTAATTAGATATTCCACTACAGCACCTCAGTGTCCTCATGAATAAAGACCTGTTATGAGTTCAAAAAGATCCAGTGAGATAATATGTAAAGTGGTTCCTATCTATCATTTTTTAGATACAAGCCACAAATACATTATTCATGAAATGACTGAGAACACTCAGTTGAGTGAACAACTTTCATACAGAACTTGGTAGCAGCAGATGCAGCCTCTTATCTCTACACAACTCAGGTATTCACTGTTAATGGATAAGGATGAATGGCTCAGCAGCACAAGCCAGGGGCTCTAAGACTTCAGTACTGAAAGATGGTCTCATCCTGCCATTTCCCATGGTCTGAGGACTTCCTTTCTCAGTTTTATCTGGGACCTCCAAACACCAGGTGACATCGTTTGGCTCTGCAACCCCACCCAAATCTCATCTTGAATTGTAATCCCCACATGTTGGGGGAGGGGCCTGGTGGGAGGTGATTGAATAATGGGGGTGAACTTCCCCTTGCTGTTCTCATGCTAGTAAGATCTCAGAAGTTCTGCTGATTTAACAGTGTGTGGCATTTTCTGATTTGGTATCTCTCTCCTGCTGCCTTATGAAGAAGGTGCTTGCTTACCCTTCCGCCATGATTGTAAGTTTCTGGAGGCCTCCCAGTCATGCTTCCTGTTAAGCCTGCAGAACTGTCAGTCAGTTAAACTTCTTTTCTTCATGAATTACCCACTCTCGGGTAGTTCTTTATAGTGGTGTGAAAACCGACTATTATGCACTAGGTACGATTCTCTTTTGTTTCTTCATGTTGTCTCTAGATTTAGGGATTTAAAAAAATCCTTTGATTATCCTGGTCTCTCCACTTCAAAAATTTCCTTAGAGTTTTAAATTTACTCTGTTTCCTATACTCCATCACTTAATGCACAACCAAAATTAAAGAAACAACACTTCAGTTGCTTCCAGTTATCAAATTTGATCAGAGGTTCATTTGGGGACAAGGGTAATAAGAATTTTAATTTTGTTTTCTAAGTTTTCAAAAGCACACATTTATTCTCTCAAGACATTAAGATTTTGAGAAAGGAAAAATAAATGAATAATTCCTCATTGTCTCCTCTGTCCTAATCCTATCTGCTTTCCCTTCATGTTAAACAGCCCTCCCCTAACACCTGAAACACTAGACTAACTGAGCTTGCCTGGGAAAACATCTGCCTTTGTAAGGGCTATAATCTTCTGCTCTCACTTATTTTCACTGCCTATCCGCATATACTCCCAAGCCCACTCCTGCCAATAACATGGGTAATGAGTGAATTTATTTCCCCAACAAGGCCATGAGAGGCTGGTAATGAATGAATGATTTCCCCGAGACTGGATGAGAGGAACAAAATCCTCTCACGTCTTTTCTGAGAATACACAGCCTTAGTAGAGGCTGGAATGAGTGTACTGTTGAAAGGAGATTACTTCTTGATGACTCTTTGAGCCAATGTAACCATTCCAAGCCCTGGGAAATCTTAATTGGAGCTTGGATCCTTGAATGCACTTAGAACATCTATGTTAAAAGGATGAATCTGCCCTTAGGCTGGTAGCAGGGGTACAAATTTCAGTAGAAAGATGAATTTCCCACTCACCAGTGATGGCATTGTACTAGCTCAGCCACCAAATGTATTCCTCTGGGTTTTCACTCACACCATCCAAGCACTAAGAAGACAATTCTGAGAAAAACAAAAAACAAAACAAAATAAAACAAAAAAACCATGACACTCCAGTTTTGCTTCTAACATCTGTCCCAAAGCCATTAGCCCCAGTCCAACCAACAAGCACATGCAGTGGGTGGGGGATGGGTTGGGTTGGTGGTTCTCCTCTTTCAGGGTCAGAAGAAGAGAATGACTGTTGTTGCTAATAAATATATAAATATTTTGATTTTAGACCTAGAAATGTGAAAATCATGGAGTTTCATATGCTACCTAGCCCATGGAATTCTGAAATGTTCAATTCCCTCTATGATTCCAAATTCTAAGAATCCCTGAATCATGCAGATGTGGTCTCCACCTACAGATAAATCCTGGAATTTCTCAGATTTAATTATTCTTGGTTTGTGTGCTTGCAGGCTTTCTCCGTGCATCTCAGCCCTCACGAGCCTCCCTCCATTCCTTCTCCCTTCTGCTGGTCCTCTGTATACACTTCTACTGAATGGTTCTGTCTCTTCCTCGTGAGGCTTCTAGAACTACCACTCCCTGAAGTCTGACCTTTAGATAAATTCAGCATGAATTTATCTACCAAGCAGCTTCAAATTTCGTTTTATGATGGTGGATACCTTAAAAGACACACTTTACAAGTGACATACCTTATAAGAAATGCTAAAGGGAGCTCCTCAAGTTGAAATGAAAGGACACTAACAACATGAATATATGAACATGTATGTGACATTGTTATTTATAAGAAATAGTTTGGTTTTCATCCCCAGTTCCTGGCACACAGCCCCCCAAACGCTTGTGATTTCCTAAGTAATAAAGTTGCTAGGAGAAGCTTTTGTTCTTTTTGGTCCTTGACCCTGGTTCCCAATACAGAGCTCGTAATGCATTGGAACTTCATGGGTGATAGGAGTGTCTTTTGTTCTAACAAAACAATTATTATTGGGCTATAGGATAGGGGGTGATTACCTGAAAGACCAAGACATGATTATAAGCTTGGAACATACAGTCCCACCCCCTATCCTCTGGTAAAGGGCAGAGGCTGGAGATTGAGTTGATAACAATTATGCCTACTAGATGAACACTTTGTAAAAATCCCTAAATGATGGGATTCAAAGAGCTTCTGGATGAGTGAAGAGCCATCCACATGCTGAAAGAATGGTACATCCCAACTGCTTGGAGACAGACCTCCTAAAACTAAGACCCTTCCAAAACTTGCTGTATGTAACTCTTTAGCTGGCTGTTCATTTGTAATATTTAAAATGTCCTTTGTAATAAATCAGCTAAGTAAACTGTCTTCCTGGGTTCTGTGAGCTACTAAACCCTAGCAAATCTAACATAAAAAGGAGTTCTTGCCGGGCATGGTGGCTCATGCCTGTAATCCCAGCACTTTGGGAGGCCAAGGCGGGAGGATCACCTGAGGTCAGAAGTTCAAAACCAGCCTGGCCAACATGGTGAAACCCCCTCTCTACTAAAAATATGAAAGTTAGCTGGGCGTGGTGGCAGGCACCTGTAATCCCAGCTATTTGGGAAGCTGAGGTATGGGAATCGCTTGAAACTGGAAGGTGGAGGGTGCAATGAGCTGAGATCACACCACTGCACTCCAGTCTGGGTGACAGAGCAAGACTCTGCCTTGCGGGGGGAGGGGGGGGTGCGGGGAAGGAGTTCTTAGGAACCTCCAATTTTTAGCAAAGTCAGACAGAGGTTCTTCACTTTTTAAAAGATTCTTTTTCTTTTTGCTCTTCTGATTGAATAATTTCAAATAACCGGTCTTTGAGTTCACTGGTTATTCCTTCTGCTTGATCAAGTCAGCTCTTGAAACCCTGTATTGATCTAGTTCAGTTACTGTGTTCTTCAACCCCAGAATCTACATTTCTTTTATTATGGTTTCTCTTTGTTGATATACTCATGTTGTTCATGTATTCTTTTCCAGATTTTACTTGTCTATCAGTGTTGTCTCACAGCTCATTGAGCTCCTTCTTATCAGGAAATTCAGAAACCTCCATTTCTTTTACTTTTTTTTTTTTTAGCGGAGTTTCACTCTTGTTGTCCAGGCTGTAGTGCAATAGCACAATACCAGCTCACTGCAACCTCCATCTCTTGGGTTCAAGCAATTCTCCTGCTTCAGCCTCCTGAGTAGCTGGGATTACAGGTGCCCATCACCATGCCCAGCTAATTTTTTTTTCTTGTATTTTTAGTGGAGCTGGGGTTTCACCATGTTGGCAAAGCTGATTTTGAACTCCTGGCCTCAAGTGATCTGCCTGCCTCATCCTCCCAAAGTGCTTTGATTACAAGTGTGAGCCACTGCACCCAGCCAAAAACCTGTATTTCTTTATGGTCAATTATTGTAGATTTATTTTGTTCCTTCAGTAGGGTCACAGCTCCTTGATTTTTCAAGGTTGTGCAATATCTCCCAGTCTCACAGAGCTGTGCCAGTTGCCATAAGATGCCCTGTATTTCTCCTTAGAGCTGTGCTCTGATAGCCTGGGACACTAAATGCATACTTCATTACTCTCCTTTCCTCCACTAGTCTCACATATTCCTCTAGGGGAGAAGTCTAAGGGGTCTGTGCCTTCTACCAGTCTCACAGAACCATGGGGGTCACCATAAACCTCCATACAAGCCTCCTCAAAATTCTCTACTTTGGCTTAGGAGTATGGGAGTCACAGTGCAGACAATGGAGGTATAAGAAAGACATCCAAGACCCCTGTGAGCTTCTAAATCTCTACAGGCATCAGTAAAGGTGGGTGCTAGACTGTCAGGCATGGCCATCCTCATGGGCAATCTCAGGATTCTCTAAGTCCTCCAAGGAGCCCAGCAATGGCTTATGTGGGCCTGGGCCACCCCTGCCAGCAGGGAGTAGTACTAAGGATGAGATCCACCAATGGCCACTGCTGAGTTATGCCAAATGAGATGTCCAGACCTCACAGTGCCTAGGAGGACAGATGGCAGAAGCTCAGCCAGGCCACGGAGATTAAAACAGTGCTAGGGGCTTAATGTATGTTTTTAGTGGGTCTGCCACATGTCGAGTTTGGATCTGGAGTCCAGCCTATAATCCTAGCAAAAATTAAACACCAAATATGATATTCAAAAAAGTGTATGTGGCTGAAAACATATGTTGGAAATACACATGACTAGAAACATCTAGATTCAAAGAGAAATTGCTAATTCCATAAATATGATAGAGAAATTTAATAACAAGATCACACTTACATAAATAATAAATATAAACTCTATTTTTCTGAGTTCTAAAGACTTTGTTTTTTCCATCTCAGTACACTAGTGGGTATATGTCACCAGTAAAATCAAAGGAGTATTCCAATTACATTCATGATATTAGTAAGTATGATAAATAAAAGTAGCCAGAACCAGAGAATTGGGGCTACAGCTATGATCTTCAAGGAACGTAAAACTTTAAAAACACTCATAAACCAAGATAAAGAAAAATAAAACAGGAGTTAGTTACTTGACTTTCCAAATTGTTACAAATGCAGTACATATTAATAAAAGTTAAAAAGTTAAAAGAATTTAATAAATAGTAAAATAATGTAATGAATGAACAGATTTGACAGAAATCAATAATTTAAAAGTTTTGAGAGCAAGATCACGAAACTGAAAAGATCCATGGTGGAAAGAAAAAACACAGGTAAATAAAAGAGACTGTATTTATTTAAAAGTAGTAATTTAAAATCTAAGAAATCAGAACAATTGTATTCTAACATGAATATATGATACATTGATTAATTTCCATGAAAATAGAGTTAAAACTTTCCCTCAGTAATCAGCAGAAAAATCTGACAGCTAATTTTAATATTTAAGTTATACATCAGAGTTTAACTGTAAAAGTGACTTGTGAGAGTTATCACATGTCAAATCACTTCTACCTCCTTTGTAATGTAAATGCTTTTGAAGGAGAAAAATAAGCCTGTCCTCATTAGTTTATTATGCTAATCAAAATGAACATAAATGCAAAAATAACTAGAATTTTAACCAACAATTTTCATTAATTATATTTGCAAAAATCATTAATACACTTTTAGCCATTTGGCTATTTATTTTGGTCACCTGGCCATCACTGGTATGGTTAAATAATGCCAGAGCATTGTAAAGTGGAGTTAATTGCAATAATAAAAGGATAATTCCATACTAGAAAACGTATTACTTTCACATATTAATTTTAAAGATTAAAAACAATCACATCAACCAACGTTTGAAAAAACATTTTCAAATAATTTAAATCTTTAATAATAATTTAAAATCTTTAAAAATCATATCAAATTTTGTGGGGACTAATTATTCTTAATCAATAAAATCTCAACTATATATTCAAGAGTTAACAAAAGGACCATTTCCACTAAAGGTAAGGCTGGAATAAGGAGGCTGGCTGGGGCTGATGCCATTCACCACTGCACATGATGCCTGAGGTGGGACCAAAACAAGAGGGAAAAGGAGAGGGACTACAAAAATGGAGTCAAAGACATGAAACTGTAGTTATTCTCAGATGATGTGACTGTAAACTTGAAAAAGTAGAATCAATTCTAATTATCAATACTAATAAGAACATTTAAAAAGTGGGCAAAACTATTCTGAATATGCTGAAATCAGTATTTCCTGTTTAGTAACATTAATCTTTAAGCAAAGCAAACACACAAAATCAGTCTCTATTTACAATAGCAAAATATTATGAGGAACATTTGAAATAAATTTGTAGGCCCATGTAAAGAAATTTTAAAACTTAATGAGGACATTAAAATGACATGAATAAAGCCTGAAAATAATATTATTAGATTGGAGGACACAGTGACATAAAACCCCAGAGACTGCAGACTCAGGGCAGCCTAGACTTAAAAGTCACATGTAGTCTTTCACATGTAAAAAATGAGAATTAGTATAAAAGCCAATTTTGTCTAAATTTTGATTTTTGGTGAGGATATAGTCAAAATAGTTGTGAAAAGAAAAAAATAAAGATGTCAAATTTCATGTAAATCTAAGTTAGTTGGAAATTTAAAATAAGTCATGTAAATATTCATAATATTAAACAATATCATAAGTGGACTCAATACAACATAATATTTTATCATATAAAATAGGTCCTGCCTTCCTGAGGAAAACATAAAATGAAAGGGCATGAAGGAAGGATTTTGGTTTCGCTGCAGAAACATAATAAGACACCTAAGTGTGTATTTGTGTGTGTGTACATACAATTAAACTACAAAATATAAAATAGCATCTAAAATACATCAAAAATGAGTCACGCAGAAAAATTCATTTTACACATACATCTATAAAATAATAAAATGTATTCAGCCTCACAATTACTTTGTGAACTGGAAATAATAATGAACTGTCATTTTACCCAAATCTACAAAAAACATACATACAGTATCAAGTTCTGGTTAAAGTAGTAGATGAACTTTATGTGGTAGTTAAGAGTATCTACACAGTTTGTGGGCTGCATCTTGCTATCATATATTACAATATAAAATGTACCATTTATTTACTCTGCGATCAAACCCCCAAGTTACCCCAAGTGGAGGAACCCTCAGACATTTGCAGATAAGTCAGTGTGCTAGTAAGCAGCATTCTTTACAAATCTATGAACATCAGGGTCTCCTTGGAACAGACGTGCTGTGAACAATTTCTAAAATACCCTCCTGTTAGACATGTAGGTTGATTCCATTCTTAAAGCAATTACTGAATAAAACACACTCCATCGTGTGGATGAAATGCTACCTTAATTTGTCGTAGCTATCATTTTCTGAACTCTTCCTTCTAATCCAAATCATTAATATTTTGAGGCTAGATCAATACTGATTCATTGTTTTAAGCTTCAAATGCATTATACAATTGGGCAGAACAAATTTCCTCTCATTAATCTTCTTTTCCAGGATTTGTCAGGTATTCCCAGCATTAATTCACTACTAATATGCACAGTGTTTCTAATCACGGTCAACAAGATCTGACAGTGCATCATCCCTAAACGATCTATACTTGCCTCACTGACATTCTGTGGCCTACTTCCACACCATGTCTGGGTGTGAAGGCGTTCCTATATGATCCCCCGAATGGAACTTCACAAGTTCGAAATCACTGGGTCACAGTATGATACTGTGAAGATGGGATGAAGTTAAGGGAAGGCTATGGGTGAGTTAGGAAATGTGTTAGGCAGGGTCAGAGATTACGAAATCCTAAAAACAACATTTAAGGAGGGAGATGACAAAACAATCAATGAATAATATGACTTTTTCCAGTGAAAATGTCATATCTAATTGTTCTCCATTTTTCTTCTCTGAGCTTCTTTCTAAGGCAAGATGTGTCTTGAGAAGTCCCTGCTGAATGTTAGGAACATGCATTTCAGGACATCCCATCGACATACCCTCTTTCTTTACCACAACCACATATATGGGGGCATAACTCAACATGTGAAAAAGACAATCTTCTGCTTTTCACTGAACCTCCAGGAATTCGGGTACAATAAATCTACCTGGAGACCAACAGGTGATTTTTCTGCCCCTTCCTTCATAACACCCTTCTTCCTAATAAAGTCCACACATATCCTTACAAGGCAGCTGTGGGTATATGAACTGGTCTGACCCCTTTTAGTCACAGAGCCTGAAGTCTCTGCTAGTACCTGCTGAGCACAGTGTATGGGTGTGAATGCGCAATGCTTTTTCTTTCTTGGTTCCTGTGAAGTCTCTGTAGTACCTGTGAGCACAGGGTCATGGGTGAGAACGGGCAATGCTTTCTTTCTCCGGTTCCTGAGCTCCAGGCTCTCTCACTTCTGGATCCTGAATACCCAAATCTTATTGCCCTTTCTCTCCAAGCTTCCTTCCCGGAACACAGCTCTCCTCATTACAAAGACACCTTTGTTCTGTCTTACTTTAAAAAGTCTTGCTCTTTCCCTATCCACTGCCTTATGTCACTATGTGTATGTCTTGGGCAGGTGGAAAGGTGAACAGAAGCCAGTAGACAGTAACCAGCACCAGCTTCACAGGAATGACATGATCTGGATGCGATAGTGGCAGTTTTCCCTTAACATTCCTGCCCCCTAAAGATTTGAGATCAAATTTCACACTCTTAAGTAACAGCAATTTGTCTTTCACGGTTTTAATCATATTGATTAAAAACATTTGTCTTTTCCAGAAATTACATTAAGTCATCCAAAATATAAAATTTAAAAGATGTAATTATTGGCAATAAAAACATGAAAGATGAGCTTTCGAAATATCTTTGAACAATTTATTCATTATGAACACATGGAATCTGTTGGAACAAAGTTCTAGGACAATTCAGCCCATCCTTCAATAATTGCAGAAAACAGCACAAAGAAAATTGTTATTTATACTTAGTTGGAAATTTTATCCTACAGTCATTAATACAGAGAGTCTATAAAGGAATAGAGGAGATGTTGAAAACTAAACTAACTCAAATCATCAATATTCTTACAAAGTGCACACTGAATTAATGTAAAAGTATTTACCAAACAAAAAGTATTTTCAATACATAATTAAGACTGAAAAGTATTGAGGCCTCATAAACTGAACCTGATACAACAAATTTAAAAAGGAAACTAATTTGGAAATCAGAAAATTATCTAAGGAATTTGGGATTAGGCTTCTGTTGCCCCCTCTGCTACTGATGGTCAGGGCCCTCATTGTATTCTGTCCTCCACATCTCTGCTGATTGCGTTTTTGCGTAGTTCCAGTTTACTTCACTACTACTTGCTCAGGTCACTCTCCTTCATTTTCTCAGTGTCTGTTCAAATTCCTCAGACCCATCCACTTCCCATCTAAATTTCCCTCCCGTTTTGTCCCTCGCTGGCCCTACCTCCCTCTTCTCTTGTTTTCTCCTCACTCTCCTGCCCCACCTCGATATCCACAGCGATGCAGTGAAGAAGCCCCTGCCAAGGAAGAGCCCACTTCTCAGTGGGACACCGGGAAGGTCACCGCTAGTGGGAGGTGACTGTCAGAAGGACGCGGGCTGTCACAGGATTGGGCAGGTCCCTTACCCCAGGCCCGGACTCAGCTTCCTGTCTGAAGCGGTCTCCCCGAAGCGGGGGGTTTGCGGAGACGTAGGGCCTGGCGGAGGGAAGGATGGGGAGGCATCTCAGGGAGGACTGGCGTCTGCCAAATCCCAGAGCTGCCCTGAGCGGCCAAGAGGGGCAAGGGTGGGGACGACGGGAGACAAGCCACGTGCCGAATGGGGACCTGACGAGGCGCGCGATAGGCTGGGCGGACGGTGAAGAGAACTAGAGTAGAAGGGCTGGACGGGGCGACCTCAGTGACGGAACCGGACACAGACGCAGATCTGGCAGCTGAGCGACAGGCTTCGGAGCATTTCAGGGCGTCGCGGGGCTCCCCGCCGACAGTGGGGCTGTTGCCGAGCCTGTGACGTCGGCGGAGACCCACAGACCTCGGGTATGGAGGATGGCGCAGGAAGGGGACTGCGTGGCTGGGTTTGGCCACAAAAAGCGGAGGGCACTCACCCGAGCGGACCTTGGCTCCGGAGAATCCGTTTCCGGGTCTACAAAAAACGCCGCGCGAAGGGCGGGGCCGGTACGTGCCGGGTGGGGAGGGTGAGGCAGACAAAAAGGCGGGGCCGGGCCGGGTCGGGGTCTCGGGCAGGGGCAGGGCGCATTCTGAGCTCCCGCACACGCTGCTTGCGTTTCCGACCCTGCCAGTTTTTCCCCTGGGCTGAAAGCGCGTGTCTGCGTCCGATTCTGTTTGAGTGCGTTCAGTGCACCGCGGGGGCGCGCTGCTTCCAACTTCCTGTTAGGTAAGAGGCGCGTGAGCCTCTTGTGCCGGGAGCGGTGCTGCTGCCTAGTCGGCGCGCGGCGGGGACGCGAGTCCGTACGTGCCGGCGGGAGCGAGAGGCTGGTGGGCACCCTCGCGATCCCGCACTCCGCCTGTGGGTAGCAGTCTCCCCGGCCCCACACGGTGTGACGCGCGCTCGGGCTCCGCGTTAGCGTGGAGTCAGAGGCGTAGCAGTCGTCGGGCCCAGGCCCTGAGGGGCCTGGACCGGGCAGGGTCCTGCCCTGTACACCGCGCCGGCCGCTGCTCCGCAGGGGTTCATTGCGTTCCTCTTTTCAACCTGTCCTGCACCGCATCTGAGATGATTCATAAATTCGGTACCTTTGGGACAGGCGTGGATGATCTCCCATCATTTGCTTCCGTTATTAATTTCTAAATGTATTGTAATACCACTATCTAAAAGTATTTTTTATTTGAAATATATTTTTATATATATACATGCATATATTTATTTCTGAATCTTGTTTCCAGTACATATAATGAGGCTTGTAAAGTGGATACTGTTCAGGAGATAGGTGGATTTTACTTTTAAGTAGTAAGGACTTAATTGGTGACTATTACTGGGGCTATTTAATAAGGATTTTTTTTTTTTTTAAATGAACATTAAAAACAGATTGGATTTCTGGATTTCATTAGCTTGATTTATATCTTAATTTGTGAAAAATGTAAGTTAACTCATTTTTATTTCCTTTGGAGATTCTGAAGTTTGTGCTACCGATGATTATTTCCAAAAAAGGCACACTTCTGGTTTTCCCAGAACTAATGCTAGCTTTTCCATCTTTTGAGTTTACTTGATATTAATGTTTGACCTTAAATCATGTTACATTTTGGAAGAAAACTTTCTCTTAGCCAATGGAACATAAACCACCCTGGAGTTCATATAAAGGAGGGGTCCAAATGCCTCTGACAGTGTCATGTGTTAAAACTGATGACCAAACCCAAGGTCACATAGCTTTCTTTCTGTGTTTTATTCTAGAATTTGTGTAGTTTTGTCACTGGAAAAGGGATCTTGTCCCAAGAATGTGTTTTTGGATCTCACATTGGAAAGAATTTATGGCGAATCACAGAGTATAGTGAAGTTAAGGTAGTTTATTAGCGACTACTCAGCTACATAGCAGGGCGTCCTCAGAAAGCAAGAGGAGGAATGCACCTGTTTTAAAAAAATTATTTTTTGAGACGGAGTTTCACTCTGGTCACAATGGCATGATCTCGGCTCACTGCAGCCTCTGCTTCCTTGGTTCAAGGTTTCTCCTGCCTCAGCCTCCGAAGTAGCTGGGATTACAGGCGTGTGCCAACACGTCCGGCTAATTTTTTGTATTTTTGGTAGAAACTGGGTTTCACCATGTTGGTCAGGCTGGTCTGGAACTCCTGGTCTCAAGTGATCTTCCCGCTTCAGCCTCCCAAAGTGCTGGGATAACAGGCATGTGCCACCGCGCCCGAGCTTAATGTTTGTTTACATAGGTTATTATGAATAGTGTTATCTTTTATAAAGGCTTGTGATCAGTTTGTGACAGGCTATTAGTATTGTTACTTCTCTATGTTACTGTGGATTTTAACAAGAATTTATGAGTGTATTATTACCTTTAAAGTAAAACTTATTTTTAAACTAAGAATGCTTTTTTTGTTCTTAAAGTCCTGGTACATTTTTATAAGTTTTATGTCTTTATTTATTAACTTGTTCCCGCAACCATTAATATTTTATAACCAAAAGTACTTAACCCGCTAAATATGTAATGCAACAAATTTAAGTTGTGTGTGTGTGAGGCAGGGTCTCACTCTGTCGCCCAGGCTGGAGTGGAGTGGTGTGATCATGGCGGGCTAACTGCAGCCTCAAACTCCTGGGCTCAAGCAATCCTCCCGCATCAGCCTCCCGGGTAGCTGGGACTACAGGTACGTGCCACCATGCCAGCTAATTTTTGTGCTTTTTGTAGACATAGGGGTCTCACTGTTTGCCCAAGCTAGTCTTGAACTCCTGATCTCAAGTGATCTGCCCGCCTTGGCCTTCCAGAGTGCTGGGATTACAGATGTGAGCCACTGTGCCCTGCCCAGATTTAACTTTTTTAAAACCTTTATTTAAAATAAAGTCACTGTGGTTAAGAGGCCTCTGACAGTTTCGCGTTTTAAGTCTGAGGACTATGTTGAGTAAATTTTTGCTTAAGTTGTAAAATGTGCATTCATGTTGATTTTATTTCCTATGGTTTCCAATTAATTGTGCCTTCTGCATTTTTAGAAACTCATGGGCTAGTGGGCTCTGTGTCAGTTTGCATTTCTAGAACGATAGCGCCAAACACTCCATGCTGTCTTTAAGTGGTGCAGCGGCATGGGTAGCAGAGGGCGCGCGGCAGCCGACAGCGCAGTGAGCTCTAGGGCGCTGCAGTGCCCCCGGCCGCCAGCAGAGCGCGCGCGAGCCGGCTTTTCTGAGCCCTGAGGCGGCCGCGTGCTACCTCCTCGCCTGAGTCCTGCGAGAGCGTGAGCCGCGTTCTCCTCAGCACATACTGGGATACGCCCCTCGCTTTGGGACACCTCGAGCCCGCGTCCGTGGTGAATAAAATCCTTCCTTTTTCAGCCTTGGCTGCTGAGGGGCAGAGACCCTTCCTGTGGAAAATTAGAAACCAAAAGCCCCTGTGAATCCAGCACACTTGAGGTTCGTTCTCTGTACCCAAGGCGAGGCAGCCACGGAGCCAAGCCACGGTCTCGGAACAGAAATGTAGCCTCAGGAAAGCAACTGGAACATCCGCCACACTGATAATAACCCCCGTAGTACTAAGAACACTCCATCTGTGATGCTAGTGTTAGCACCCGTTGTATACAGAGATCCCACCGTCAGGGTAACGTTACAGCTGCTGTCCAGATCCGACCCTAGGAACGCGGATGTGTCCCTCAGAGCGCACGTAACGCCCAGAATGCGGAGATGACATCGTCTGCCTAACGCCACACCCGTCACACTCATATAACCCCCGGAACACGCATGTATCCCTGAGAGCGTACGTCCCGTCCAGGATGCGGCCATGGCGTTTGCAGCCCATACGAGAGCGTCTGCAGCTCCGAGGATGGGACCCTCTGGCTCTCGCTGGGGCGCTGGGTTGACAACCTCTGCCGGACTGGGTTTGGGCTGGATTTGACCTCTGTCATGAAACTTCATGTTGTTGTCTGTGCCTTACTGACGTGGTATTGACACGGTTGTTTTAAGAAGCAGTTTACTTCCCAATAATGTCATACTTCTGGGAAACTTGCAACAGCAGTTAGTATGCCTTCTCTTTGCTCTCCAATTCCCCAGCGGTTATTGCTGTGCCAGATTTGCAGCTTCACAAAGAATACCTCCCTGTATTTCACCAAAAGCAGGAACAGTCCTCCAGGTGATCCCCACATAACCCCCAAATTAGGAAATATACGGTTTCTATGTGAAAGTCCAGTCCGCAGACCTATTTCACTTCATTGCCTGCCCCAGCTGGGAGAAAAATGTGTTTTCATGTGGGCCCAATTTCTTTTTCGGGAACTGTTCATGAGACTCAGTTTTCTGGGGTTTTTTTGGGTTTTCTTTTTAAGACAGAGACTCAGTCTGTCATCCAGGCTGGCATGCAGTGGTGCCATCTTGGCTCATTGCAACCTCCGGCCTCCCTTGTTCCAAGAGATTCTCCTGCCTCAGCTTCTGGAGTAGCTGTAATTACAGGCATCTACCACCACGCCCGGCTAATTTTTTGTATTTTTAGTAAAGATGTGATTTCACCATGTTGGCCAGGCTGGTCTTTAACTCCTGACCTCAGGTGATCCACTCGCCTCAGCATCCCAGAGTGCTGGGATTACAGGTGTGAACCACTGCATCTGGGCGACTCTCAGTTTTCACAGCCTTGGTAGATGTAAAGAGCAGAGATGACTCCAAGCTGGGTCTGCGCAGCGTTTCCTCCTAAACAGGTGCAGATCCTGCGTTCCTAGTAGGAACACCCTGGCCTGATGCTGCGCTCTCCTCACTGTGGCCCACCTGGAGGAGCACCTAACCATCCTACCACCACTGGCGATCTCACTTGGTAATGGCAAATATTCATTTACAATCACAAATTTCATCCTGTCAAGCTCTGGATTTAAGTTTGCCGATGATTTCCTCTGGCCTTAGAACCATGGCCTCCAGACCCTGAGTTCTCCTGCCTGCTGTCCTCTCCCATCCAGTCTGCTACAGCTGCCTGCAGTCCCACTCATGGGGACATGAGCTCCCAGGTGTCTTGGGGATTTTATGTGAGTTCCTCCAACCCATTCACCCATTGCCCACCCTGGTTTTTTAAGGCTTTGTTTAGATAAGTCCTTCAAGTCACAGCAGTTACGATATCTAAAAGTAGAAAAGTTAATAATGTGAATTTTTAAAGACAAAGCATTATTTATTAGATCATCTGTGAGATGACCCTCATTTTTTTTTTTGGAGATGGAGTCTCCCTGTGTTACCCAGGCTGGAGTGCAGTGGCATGATCTTGGCTCACCACAACCTCCACCTCCCGGGTTCAAGCGATTTTCATGCCTCAGTCTCCTTAGTAGCTG